AGGTGTGCCCCTCAACTGCTTTTCTTTTCCGTGTGCTTGGCACGCTTCTGTATCACTGTAGATGGGGTGGAACCATCGGCCTAAGATCCATCAATCTGCTAAAGTAGGTCCAACTGTTTTGCTCGATTTCTTTCAGAAGGGTCACGCCTTCCTGACAAGAAGGAAATCCAAGGACAGATTTGGATACTTAGGGAAGTGAAGACTTTGACCTACTGTGGTAGATTGCATGGATGTCGGAGTCAATCAGAACGTCCAGATTCTTCCATGCACCGTGTTTTCACAGAGGCCTGGAGGTCCACATGGAAGTTAAATGTATTTGGCCTATTTTGGCACCGTGAAGCATCCTAAATTGGAATATGCACTGCCACACTTTACAAATTAAGGTGTTGGAGGTCATTTATGCATGCCGACATCCTCGGAATCCAGTGCCTGCAGTATGGTCAACCTTGCAGTACATTTCGAGATGGTTGGAAGCACGCAGGAGTATAGGTTTCTTTTGTTTTCCTCCCAACGCACAGTGTCACAACAAACTTTTTAGGCAAATACCGGCTCAAGGAAGACTTGAAGAACACACATCCGCAAAATGGTCTTTGAGATGGAGTACTGATTCTTCTCCAGATGTTTCTTGCAGCTACGCGTATCCAGGAATCCAGAAAAGAACTATAGTCACTATATATTTGTCAAACGTTCGACACTGCAGACAGGCATTCCTGCCAGAAAAGAGTTTGTAGAAGAGCAAAGTTTTCTGCGTTTCATTTTGGGGGGTAAAGTTTGCTTTGTGGGAGGGTACGCATCCGAAAGAATCAGCAACCATGATATCTTTTTGCGGCTGTTTTGCTGTTTGTTTGCTTGCTTCAGCAAGAACCCTAACCTGTTTGTGCTTCACGTTTAATTGCCAATTTCTTTGTACCTCCAGACAACCAAGAACGTGAATCAAATCATGACCTTTTAAACTTGAATTGCTTGAATTGCCCTCCATCCAAACATGGAAGCTGAACCGTGGCAGTGTGTAGAGCAAAATCACCTCCATGCAGGTAGACAGGCGACATCTCGCAAGCATTGCGCACCGCCCAGAGCAGTGATTCCTCGGTCATGGTGGTGAAACAGGTGGCCTTTGGTGCTTTCGGGAGCATGATTAGCTGTCATGGAGGATTCTCTTCATGTTTCTTCAAATTAATGTAGACTCTTGATTATATTTTAACCCCCCGTGTGAAGCAAATGGGAGGTTTTATGAATCAAGAGTTTACATTGTGAGTGGTTTAGAGTGAAAACTGAGCCCAAGGAGGTTACTTGAGGCCTCCATCATGTTTTGTTGCACTGGCATTTTCACTCGCGTCTATGTACATCCAGCCTGAGCAGGTTGACCACACTCACGAGCAGACTCCATTTCCGAGGTCATCTAAGGGGTGAGCCGGCGAGGAGCGAACCCAACTCGACTCAAGGGTTCTTGGGGCTCCACAGTGATTGTTAAAAGGCGCATCCAGCATCCCTTTCAAACAACCATGCCACCCTGAGGTTCACAATCCCCAATTGTGGTGACAAACGAACTGATGAATGCAGATGAGGTTTCGTTTCAACTTAATCCATTCCAACTGATATACGTGTGCTCCATTAGGAAGTTTGTTTCACCACCTGTCAGGTGAGGGTTGTTAGATTTTAGAAGAAGATCCCGCCTCCTTTGTCTTTGTGTTTGTCTCCTCGCCTTGCAGTTCCTCAACTGCCAGCTCCAGATCGCACTCAGTTGGCACTACCTTCACCGCAAGCGCCAGATCACAAGAAGCACTACCACACCTTAACAACAAGCTCACGATCACACACTACCGGCCTGCACAGAAAGCGCCAGATCGCTGTGGGCACTACCGGGCCACAACAGCAAGCGCCAGATCGCAGTGGACACTATACCGGGCCTGCACA